CTTTACACGTGGTATATCTACACCCTAAACCTTAAACCCCTAAAGCCCTAAACCCTAAACCCTAGACCTTAAACCCCAAACCCTAAAGCCCCAAAAAACCCTAAAGCCTAAACCCTAAACCCTAGACCCTAAACCCTCAAGCCCTGAACCCTTTTTGCAATCGGTCAGGGCGCATGGCCCACAAACAACCAAGACCCCAGGTGCCTACAGTACTATTGGGTTTAGGGTTTAGGGTTTAGGGTTTAGGGTTTACTATTGGGGGGCCTTCCTGAAGGACGGAAAGAACCTTTAAAAGTAGGGCCTTTATACCCTTATACTATGAATCCCTAGATTGAGGCCTCTATATTACCAACCCTAAAACCCTAAACCCCAACATAATATCGGGTAATTATTGAAGCCTCTATACTACCCATTTGAGACAAGAAAAACCCTGAATCCCAACATAATATTGGTACTTATTGAGGCCTCTATATTACCCAAAACAGACGAGAGGCAGCAGCTGAGCGAAGTCGCCGTAGGCTTCGAACACTTGGAAGTTTGAGCCCTCAGCGATACAAAATAGGGCTCTCCGGCTCTGGGTTTAGGACTTAGGGTTTTAGGGTTCAAGGTTTAGGGTTTAGGACTTAGGGTTTTAGGGTTTACGGTTTAGGGCTTTAGGGTTTAGGGTTTAGGGTGTTTGCGGTTTAAGGTTTAGGGCTTTAGGGCTCTAGGGCTCTAGGCTTCAACAACTTTAAATTTTTTTAAACAAATTTCACTTCGATAGTTTGTAGGGTTGGATTCCAAGGTTTATGGCGTAGGATTGAGGCGGTTCAGGGCCAAAGTTTTCGGGCCGGCGGTGGGTAATGCAGGAACCTGATTCCTTAAGGACCAAATGACCCTTAAAAGTAGGGGCCCTGTACTCTTATACTATGAATCCCTATGGTATATGAACCTTAATCCCTTTTCGGGTTCTTTTCGTCCTTCATTTTAAGAACCCCCATGTTTAGGATTCAGGATATCTTGGCACACGTTATGGGCGGGGAGGTGGTGGTCAAGTTTGATGTCGGCACCTGACACCGTCACAGCATCGCCCACCACAACGGCTCCCGCTACCATGTTGAAGCCCCACTGAGGATTTAGGGTGTAAAGTTTGGGGATCAGGGAGTTTAGGGGTTCAGGGTTTAGGGTTTAGGGCGGTCCTGCATGGCATCATTTTGACTTACAGAGCTATCAAGACAACTCTACACCGGATGATGCTCTCTCGAAGATATCTGAAGCCAAGCACTGCAATGATGTTGTCGTGAAGAGTCTTGATGATGAACGCAATGTCAGGGCGTGGGGTTGTGGACCCAACGGAACCCCGAGGAACACCATTACCAATTCTTTTGGCCACTATAGGGTCCTTAATGATTAAAATAGGGCTGTGGGGCCAGTCTACTATAATTATAATAAGGACCCCCAAAATGGTATTGGTAATTATTTAGGCCCCTATATTACCTGCATCCGGTCGCGACGCACTGGGTCCACGTCCGCGGCCCACGGCGTCCGTATGTTGACAACGAGCTCCATTGCCGAGCAAACGTCCCTCAGCTCGGACTGCCATCGGTACATGTGGATGATTGAGTCAGCAGGGGTGTGTTTGCAGAAAATCTCAACGAGAGCGGGCACTTTCACGAGCGCTGCAAGAATCTCTCACCTTGGCCTTCTTTTTGAGGGCCTGGAGCCGGCTCGTCCAGAGGAGAGAGGGAGGATCCGTTTGAAGAGAGCCGAACCTGCTGCACCTCTCTAGCTCGTCAGGAGGCATACATACCACTTCTGAATCGTAAGCCAGGCCCAGGTATGAATCGATTGCAGGGGGCATAATTGAGTTGGCGTCTAGATCAGCTCTTGCAGTCCAGGCTGGGATCCTGAGGTCTCCTTGCCCTGGTTTCATGTAGGTATCAAGCCGCCGGACGACCTCTGCCAAAGCATGCCTTAGTGTTCATGAATCGAGGTGTGCGGCCGTGAGGTCCTCCGCTTTCGGCCTCGGCGTGTATCTGCAGGCTAGCTGCCGTCACAGGGTCGAGAACGACTGCATTTCAGAGTCCTAAGCCACCAAGTTTTTTAAAGATGATGACGGTGCGAGAGTGCTCGCCCCGTCTCAGTTTCGGAGCAAACCTCGAATAAAAAACCGGCATGGACAAAGTCCGGAGCCACCCCCCAACTTCAAAGTTACGAAGCACTACCCCAAACTGTAAACCCTGAGCCCTCAACCCTAAACCCTAAACTTTCTTGAAAACCCCAAACCCTAAACCCTGAACCCTAAACCCTAAACTCTCCTGAAACCCCAAACCCTAAACCCTGAACCCTCAACCCTAAACCCTAAACCCTCCTGAAAACCCCAAACCCTAAACCCTGAACCCTCAACCCTAAACTCTCCTGAAAACCCCAAACCCTAAACCCTGAACCCTCAACCCTAAGCCCTAAACTCTCCCTGAAAGCCCCAAGCCCTGAACCCTGTACCCTCAACCCTAAACTCTCCTGAAAACCCCAAACCCTAAACCCTGAACCCTCAACTCTCCCCCAAACCCTCCTAAACCCTGAACCGTCAACCCTAAACCCTAAACTCTCCTGAAAATTCCTCGAATGTTGCCTGCGGTCGAATCCAAAGTCGTTCGCAAGGAGCGCTGTCGCTGTACACGACCACCCATGGCGGAATCAAGACCTGTCCGCGCTACATGTCTGTGACCGGGGGCGGCAATATCAGCTGCCGAGGTTCGGCATCGGCTGCAGTGCCATGGCTAGACAGTCCGTTAAATATTGCTTTCTGGGTTTGTTGCTCTTTCATGTTTTCGCGGAGTCCCATACAGCAGCAGCACACATGATGGCACAGATGCAGGCAATCATGCTTCTAAATACTTGTCCGAGGCTTAAGCCGCAGTTGCTGAGAATGCATCCGTCCACATGTGGACGGTCGTTGCGCTCTTTCGGTTCGTGCACTCGTGCGGCTGCCTGTTCTTAGCATGACCCTACCGCACCCTTTTCTTCGTTCGGAAGGAAGAATTGGCAAGGTCACAATGGTCGGCGCTCGCACAGCAGCCGGACAGACCTCATGGCGTGCTACGGTAAGTGTGACACTCATTCCACGTCGGTCAGACCTCATACACTGAGTGTACGAGGGTCTCTGGCCCCGGAAAACGGCCAGCCGCGAGTTCATAACTGACAGGCGGGTAGGTCGAGCCGACTTAGGTCGCTGTACAGCACTCGGAAGGCCTCGGAGGTGAACATCCCCAGCTCGCGGCGATGGGGCGGCAAGGGAAGTCGTCGCTTCGACTTGCTAGCCTTTGCTCAGGCCAAGTCCTCTGCCGTCACCTGGATCTCCTGCAGGTTTTTGTGTCACAGGCACGTCTACTCTCCTTGCAGCAGTTCAAAGCGCCCGGCCCAAACCGCCAGGATCTGCTTCTCATGGACGGTCAAAGCGAGAACCTCTTCCGCACGGTCCTTGGAACCAGTTGGCCCGCGAGACCGTGCGGGGCGTCGGCATCCGATCTGGACCGCCTGGGCACGCTCCCGGCTCCTGTGTTGGAGAAAGCTTTCGGGAACATGTCTGCGATTTACTGCTGCCCGCCTCGTCCAATCGCCAATACAAGAGCGAGGAGTCCGGGATTGCCGCGATCACTCGTTGGTCGCCGGCACGACCCTCAACCCTAAACCCTAAACTCCCCCGAAAACCCCAAACCCTAAACCCTGAACCCTCAACCCTAAACCCTAAACTCTCCTGCAAACCCTCATCCCTGAAGAAAGCACTGCGCTGAGGACACGGGCATAGCGCTTGCGCAGTTGGCAGAGCAGCCTTGTAAAGTAGGGTTTAGGGTTTAGGGTTTAGGGGTTTAGGGGTTTAGGGGTTTAGGGGTTAAAGCTTAGGGGTTTAGGGTTTAGTGTTTAGGGTTTAGGGCTTGGGGATTATGGGTTTAGGGGTTTGCGTTTAGGGGTTTGGGGCTTTAGGGGTTTAGGGGTTTAGGGGCTAAGACTTTGGAGTTTAGGGTTTAGTGTTTAGGGTTTACGGCTTAGGGAGGGGTTTGGGTTTAGGGGT